GGGTGCCTGTTTTTCATGCCTATCAGTTATTGGCCCGACGAGTAAAATACTGGCAAGAAAATACATTCATGTCGGTTGATTTACCAGTCATAGAAAATGCACATAGTGCAGTCATTAGGGGTGTAGACAATGATGAGTATGGTAACATTACTCTTGATATCCGCACGTAACTTAATGATACTCAGATTTTAGAAGAAATGCAAGATACCAGCAAGCTCAATATCAAACCGGACTGTGCCCATACAGGATTTGAGTTTCGTATTAAGCAATTTGGAAAGCGCATAGTGCAATCGTGTCTACGTCGGAAAACATCAAATTACAGGGTGTTACAAGCCCTTTTAAGTATTCCTCCCGAAGCTGCAACAACAGCAAACCCAAATACTGCGCCGCGCCATTCAGCAACTAAATTAACGGAGGAACAGAGATCGGTAATACAATGTCTACTAGGTGATGCACCAGTCCTTTTTCAGCAAGCATCAGCAGGTACGGGAAAAACCCGCGTAATAGGTGCTTATATGGCTGAGTTGCTGCCCAGCCTTGACGATATGGAAATGGTGCTAATTACTGCCACTACTAATATAGCGGTTATCAATGCAACAAATACTATATTAGCATGCGTACCAGATTTGAAAGAGGAACAACTTTGTTTCCTACAGTCAACTAATGCAGAGTTAATCTTTCCAAATGATGAGAATATGGACGATAATCGATGGACAGAGTCTAGGTTACCAGAAACTTTACAGAGACGGTGGCGGAGTGAAGGAGTTGAGACGCACTTTGCATGGTCATTTTAAGAGGAAATAGCAATTCAGTTTTTAAATTATCAAAATCAGTTCCGACATACACGCCTCTTTGTTCTGTACTGAGTGCAGTTTAGTGACAAAATGTACTCATTTGAGTTGTATATATTTCATTTATAAAATGATTCAATGCTTTGCATTCTTTTGCGCAGGTTGAAGAAATTATCGTTGCGTGATTATTAGAATAACAGTGATGCAGGTCATCAATCTACGATAACTGCAGGTTGATTCAGCCGGAAGAGAAGGCTCTTAAAGGACTGTTTCACTGGGGCTCAGCAAAGTTTCGTTATCAAGGAAAAACGCAGTCTTAGTCAAAAATTGCCTCACAAATGTCCAACATTCCACCACTGCAGCGCTCACAGAGTGCCCGTTTAGCGCGAAATGAGGGATACGGTAAGGGATCCTTTTCTGCGTTTATCGCCTGCATAACTGTGAATGGTATCCGCGAAAAAGTAAATGAACGGCCTCTAAGGAGACGACTTACACGCACTAAACTAAAGTTAGTACTGACTGGAGCAGGCAATTTAGGATCAGAATGCGCAGAATGACTGCACCTGTTACGTTGGAATATCCCGGTAACATTACCCTATCGATCTTTGGGGAGGGAGGACGGAGAAGCGAGATGGTCCTGAAATTTTTCATATATCCCTCAGTTACTGGAAATTGTTAGATTCAGTCGTCCTTGTACCTTTTAAAAAATGTATGCTAATGGGCTTTGTACTCTTGAGAGTTATTTTCGTGTATCCCTTAATATCACTGACCCTTAAGTCATCTTTATATGTGCAGCTTATGAGTTGCGTGTTTTTCTGATGCAAGTAAGAGAGGTTACTTGATAATGTCACACAAAAAAACCATTTTTCACTCTTATCAAGTAAGAGTGAAAAATGGTTTTGTCGACTGCCACTTGCCTTGACGACGGAAGTTTTTTTGAAAGTAAAGACTTTTTTTCTGAATTTGTAACTTTAGGTACCATCGTAATGTGTTGATGACTTTTTAGGTATAACGGCTGCTTTTCAAAATAAGTAGGACAAGGGGATTTTTATTCATTTTAAGTACTTTTAGAAGGTGCAGCAGGATGGCTGTGGTTTTTTGTTTTTTGATAAATTTGGTGAGAAGGCTAAAAAGTCAGAATAGTTAAATATAAAGATTAGTAGGATGTGCGCAGAAAAATACGTGCACATTTATAATTTTATGATTTACATACCATTGGTCTGCAATTTTGGAATGCGGTGTGAAATAGGCGAGGCGAGGGTTGGTGAGAAACAACCAGACAAAAGTCTTTGGCCCGGGAATCGCCACTGCTGAAAACTGTTTCGTTCCGAGTTTTTAAGAAGAATCATTTAATTCTGGTTTTTTGTACGAAACTGTCAACAAATTCTTTGCAAGTCTTATTTTGCACAGCAGCTGAGAACAAAAATATACAGACATTATCAAGCTAAAAACAGCTTTTAAATAGTAACAGGATATTACTTCTGGCCTACCAACAGAAATAAATATGCCTTACCAGCATAGGTGGTAACTAAGGGAGGAGAGTCCGCTTCGGAAAATTCACATCGTAGTCTTATGGTGCTCAGTGGACAATAACAATTTTGAAGCTTCCAGTTACGAAGTTTGAATTTTAGCGTCTTCAGAAATTACTTACCGAAGCGATTCCATCTTTCTCATAATTTCTTTTAGCTACTAATTTCCCGGAAAAAGAAATCCAAGCTAGATCCTTTCAAGACCCTTAAAAAAGTAAAGCCTACAACATAATTCTGGTTATCAAAATCCAGGTGTGCAGCAAACATATTTAGCCCACTTAGCCAGCCACATGCACCTCGCTTCAATGCCAAACTGTCCGCAGTTCATATTGCTCATTATACCAACACACGGAATCGGTGAACCTTGTCTCATCACTGGTATGAAACCTGGTCGGCCGGAGCATCCTGTCTGATTTCGGGTGATACTACTGCTGCTGCTTGTAACAACAGCCGGACTTGGATCGATAATAGCCATTGGCCAGATGCGCTTCGGTGGGAAACGGCGCAACTAAAAATAAGTCCAGTACTTCAAAATGGTTCGCGCATAACTCACAGAACAATACGTGCCTCCCCAAATGTTTTTTGCCATGTTCGTTCATAAAAGATATGCACATAAGAAGCCTGGTTTTAGTGTTTTGTAGCTAAGCACTGCCAATGTGATTGATCCAAAACAACCCCAGGCCCCTTTTTAAATAAAGAAGCCAACTTACACTCTGAAATTTCTTGTGGGCGGCAGCCTTGCAGCAGATAAAACCATTTGCTGTGCCGGTGTAGAGGCAAGCAGAGCCGTTAGGACAAAAATGCGGGTTTCCTGACCGAGCGTGCGGATAGCACTGGCGATAATTTCCATCAACGTCCACAGGAATCAAATTGGGCGGCTGCGGTGGACAGACATCTAAGCAAGCCAAACACTCATTAAGCAAACTGAAAAATATGGCACTTGATTACCTGCACATAGTTTTGACCACAACGTCCTGAAACTGGCTGCATGCAAAAATGACCCTGATACTAGGTCGATAACGACTCAATACCCTGTGATGAAAAAATACGAGGCTCTTGTTCCATTTCTTTTTATGTCACCCGCTTCTCGTTCTCTAAAATTTAATTCATCCTCTCGGGTGTCACAGGCATCAGTTTATAAGCAGCAATGAAGTCTGAGCCCAGATACGCAGATGGGCTAAAATGCCGTGTTAATTCCTGTAGAATGTGGAGAGCGTTAGTCTCCGATTATCTTTGCTTCAAAGTCACCTAAGTTGACGCCTGAGCTTACTCAGATAAAAAATTGAATTTTTTTTGATTACAAAAGCGTTCACTACGTTTCGAATTAATTTCTCCAAACTTGCTAGCTCCGTTTAAGTCAAAAACTCTTTTTTTTGCTCCTAATTGAGAATTTTACTGACGGAATAAGCAGTACAATCCTTTGCCTATTAAACTGTGATGAGACGATTCTTGTAACAAAAAAATATTTGCATATACGAAGGTTTCCAAAAAAAAAATTTTACAAAAAAAGTTACGCGGGAAGCTTTCTTAGGAAGGCATAATTCAAATCTGCCTCTCCCCACGGCTTATGGACCCACTCCAAGACGACATTAACTTTC